TGAAAGTGAGAGTAGCTACCGCATACGTCTGACAGTCTGTGCGGATGTAGAGTACCGTAAATTAAGCCTTTTTTTCCGCGTCCGTGTGTGTGTGTGTGTGTGTGTGTGTGTGTGTGTGTGTGTGTGTGAGGGAGGGAGGGAGGTTGGCTCTGCTCTCGACACTCTCCACTTCCCAATGTTTTTAAAGTTAGATGCCCATTCATCAGCGCTAAATGCTCCCATCTCCACAAGGTAAATTCCCGGTTAATTCTGATATATACCATTTCTGGACGTTGTATTTGGTTTTAACCAGACAAATGCATTCCTACATCTTCAGTTATGCTACGAAGAAAATTCACCGTATCCTTTCATAAACACTTAGGAAATTTAGAGAAGACAACAGGTGAGGCAGACAAAAGGCGATGCAGACAACAGGTGTGGCAGAAAACAGGTGTGGCAGATAACAGGCGTGGCAGACAACAGGTGAGGCAGACAACAGGCGAGGCAATAACTACAACAGGTGTGGCACAGGTGACGTCTACACTGTGATGCAGGGACTAAAAGGTCCCAGATGGCAAAAGGCTAAGACCATTAGTATTTATTGGGGAGAGGTGTGCCATGGTCCCCCGGCAGGAAGAGTTCTGACCCCGCATGATCTCTCTCAACCACAAGCGATCTTAGGTGACCTCCTGTGACTGGTTCTCATGATAACTCTCCCACTGCAGCACCAGCCACATAAACACACGTTAAGACCTACATTTCATAAAACTTAACAGCTATTTTGACCAAGACAACGATACGTAAGAAAGATAGATTATAAAAAAAAAATCTGAGTAATGGTGTGTGTGTAATAATAATAATATTAATTATAATAATAATAATTAACGGTTTATTTAAAAAGTTCTGCAGCCCGAAGGCTGAAAATATACATTAGACATAAATGACTTATTACATACATTGGTAGTTTAACAAAAGCCTTCATTAGAGAAAGGTAAAGGAACATACAGTGAACATACAGATTAATGTTTACAGTGATCACGTAACATGTGCGATGAGGTGTTGAACAGCTGACATGTGTAACTCCCTCACAGATGGTGTTATGAGAGGCATCACGTGGTGTAGTAGTTCCCTCACAGATGGATGGGACATCACGTGGTGTAGTAGTTTCCTCACAGATGGTGTTATGAGGGCATCACGGGTAGTAGTTCCCCAGGTGGTGGTTGTGGTGTTATGAGGGCTGGTATAGTGTAGTAATAACCTCACAGATGGTGTTATGAGGACCCTGGTGTGTACTTCCTCCAGATGTGAGAGGACCTGTCGGGTGTAGTAATTCACACAATGGTGTTAACCTGTCTGGTGTAGTAATTCCCTCACAGATGGTGTTATGAGGGACCTGTCGTGGTGTAGTAATTCCTCACAGATGGCGTTATGAGGACCTGTCGTGGTGTAGTAATTCCCTCACAGATGGTGTTATGAGGACCTGTCGTGGTGTAGTAATTCCCTCACAGATGGCGTTATGAAGAACCTCACATGATGCTGTAGCAACTCATTCACTACGTGGTGTCGTAGCATCATGGGGACACCACTCACTGCTAGCCTGGGTACGACTCGGCTGTTAATGTAGAGTTGTTTTTCACTGACTTAAGCACTGTTCACCACTATTCACCACTGGTTCCATTCCTTTCCTAACTGAAATAAAAATTTAAACTTCAACTTTTATTCCTGGGAGAGGGTTCAGGAGAGGGAGTTGGTATGGGCCAACATAACAGTTGACTTGGCTGCTGCCAGAGCAGCGCCAGGTACATCTTGACCCTTCGGTGGTCAAGGATGAAGTGTGTGTGTGTGTGTGTGTGTGTGTGTCGGTTAGCAATGTCAAGGTAAGGGGTGGAGTGAGTGAGTGAGTAAGGCAGTGTGTCGTCCTCCAAGCAAGTCATGGACACTCTCACCTTACCATCAGTGAAAGTTTCGTTCCCTTGCCACGGCTGGTGCAACACTGTACAGCCTGCCTCCATCCACCCCATGGCACACACAACGAAATGATATCCACTAATGTAATACTAATACACAAATCCACTGTACAAAGGTCAATTTTGGTTCAGTATGTCCAAGATAAATAGGCGTAACAAAATAAATCCCAGAAATGTCAAATAATCCTGATACACCTAAAACTTCAAACTTCACTCCCCAACATCCGGCGTCCACGAGTGAATGCAGTTGTAGAGGCAGTGTGGGTTAGGTTGCTCGTGACAGTTCTAGAATGATGTTTTAACGGGAGATTTATACTTCTTGTAGCACCAGTGAGTACCAGAGTAGGAACACAACAAAGTCTCCCCGAGGATGTAAGACGATGAGGGTTGCGTGTGTGTGTGTGTGTGTGTGTGTGTGTGTGTGTGTGTGTGTGTGTGACCTTCAACTGACATCTAGACAACAAAACCCATGATGTGGTCGTCATACAATCACCTCCTGTTGTGACTACCTCGTTAAATTATCCTGTCCTTCACAAACACTTAATGATTTCCCGTCCTGCATACACAATACGGGGGTTGTAACAGTGCCGCACGAGCATGAGAAACACGTCGTTATTATTCACGGTGGAGACAAACTCATGAGGCGATACAAAAGACACCTTGGCCAAGACCACCACCACCACGGCCTGCTTCATCATAACCTAATCATCCGCGAATGTCAGAGATAGAAATTACACCAACTTCCCCATTATCTTTTTTTTTTACGATTAAATGTAACAAAACAAGAGAGACTGGAAGTAGGCCAAAGATACATTAGTGACTAGAGAGTAGAACGTAAATATGACTCCTGCTGCTGTGACCAAACTACAAAACAGGTTACCACCCCACCCCCCTTCTCTAATCTGTAAAGGGATCCTATATTTAACACCATCAATAAAATACAATTACTACTGTCTAATAAGCCGTTGAATGATATATAAACGACCATGAGTGCAGCGACATCATTACAGGTGTGACTGGGGAACATATAAACAAGTACTGTAGCGCGCACTCCGTCTCCTGTATCTTGACTTACAGTGACAGTGAGTTACAGTGACTTTCAGTGACGTTAAATGCTACTAAAGTCTCCCATACATCGTCCAGTGTTAAGGGTCTAGTATCTAGTTATATATAAGCCGTCAGTGGCGTGAGTGACCGTAATCAATACCCGTATTAATATAAAAGAAGCGGTAGGTTGTATCAATAGTCACTCCACACACACGGGTGAAGAGGAAGTTGGGACCAGTGATCACCACCGGCCGGCAAGGTCTATTCGGCAGTTTCCCCCAACGAGTGGCTGCACTTGATCAACTATGGCCGCCACCACGGTATAAACTCTGCAGGAGGGGGAGGAGGAGTATGGAAGAGGAATACAGGGTAGAAGGAAGAGTGTGGAGGAGGAATGCAGAGGAGAAGGAAGGGCGTAGAGGAATGCATGGAAGAGGAGTATGGAGGAGGAATGCAGGGTGAGGAGATGAGGAAGACGATCAACCATGAACACCCATGAGGTTTTTACATGACGCGTCAACTCACACTCACTCGCTCACTCACGACTCGCGTTCACTCACACACTCGCTCACTCACGACTAATTAACTGTTATGAATTTCAATACTCCTTCATACACTCCAGCATGCTCGACAGGGTAATATGAGAGAGAGAGAGAGAGAGAGAGAGAGAGAGAGAGAGAGAGTATTATGCATTCATGTATGTGTGTGTGTGTGTGTGTGTGTGTGTCGAGGTGGCCACTGCTCAAGGTCGCAGCTGCCGTAAAGGGTGTGATGTGGCGATCATAACCACACACACACACAGTGCCCGGTCGACCCTAGCCAAGGCCACCTAGCACGTGACAGCCTACCATCCACAAGCGTCCCTTTAAAGTACACAATAATACGTGACCTCCAACCACCACGACCATCCACGTGTATATCAAAACGTTCTCACACACACACACTAAATGGAATGACGCACGATGGCAATGGATGGAGCAAAAAACAAACACGCTGGCCCTTCCCCCAAAAAAATTATATATATATAAACACGAAAATTTAACTTGTTCGCCTTCAGTCAGATCATCTCCCAAGACACGTGTCAATTTACAGGTTATTAAAGAGAGGGAGAGCTGTTGGTTGGTGTGCCGGAGACCTAATTAGGTAGTTAAGCTGCCAGTGAGAGAGATAGGGGGGTGGTGGTGGAGTTGATAGTGATGTTGGTAGTATGTAATTAGTGGAGGAGGGGAGCTGGGGGTAGTAGTGGTGGTTTTTAATAGTAGTAGTAGTGATTGTGGTGGTAATGATAATAGTACAGGTAGTAGTAATGATGGTGGTGGTTGTGTTGGTAGAAGTAGTGGAGAGGTGATGATGTTGTTAGTAGTAGAAGTGGTGGTGGAGGTTGGTAGTGGTGATAGTAGAGGTGGTAGTAATGACAGTAGTGGTTATGGCGGTAATGATGGCAGCAGTGATGGTGGTGGAGAGCAGGGTGGTGTGGGGCGAGGTGAGGCGACGCCCCGGTTATTGCCTCATGATTGAAGATTTCCTCCATCCCTAAATCCATAGAGTATGTCTTATATTCCTATCCTGCCGCACACACACACACCCTTGAGGGAAATCTTCTTGTTCTCATCTTGCTTACAGTAATCATCTCGGGGGGGGCAAGGATGGTGTCAAGCCTCAGGAACCAGGCCACATCCTATCACCTCTCCCATCCTGACACACACACCCTGAGACGATAAAGACCCTCCTAGGAGCCAGATCATATTATCCAGTAGGTCAATAATATACACCCACCTCCGCCACACACCTACATACATCCACACAGCGCTACATTCATCCAAGGAACCAAGGATCCTCTGTCACTCACTGTATATATAAGCGTCACACGTTACCCACTTTTAGAGGATAATGCTAAAGAGTCCTTCATGGTAATCTCGATATTTAATGATGATAATACCCTTTTAATGCATATTTATACAAGATACTGTTTACAGGTCATGGTAAGGGCCCAAATGGTACAGTGAATCACAATATACTCGACCATAGTGAGGGTGTAGGGCCATGAATAGTGTGAGGGTTTGGGGCCACGGTGAGTCTAGGAGCCAGCTGAGGGTGTAGGGCCATGAATAGTGTGAGGGTTTGGGGCCACGGTGAGAGTGCAGGGCCAAGCTGAGGTGTAGGCCATGAATAGTGTGAGGTTTGCCACGGTGAGAGTGCAGGGCCAAGCTGGGTCCATGAGTAGTGTGAGGGTTTGGGCACAGTGAGTGCAGGGCCAAGCTGAGGTGTGGGCCATGAATAGTGTGAGGGTTTGGGGCCACGGTGAGGTGCAGGGCCAAGCTGAGGGTGTAGGGCCATGGTGCAGGTATTGGGCCATGAATAGTGTGAGGTTTTGGGCCACGGTGAGTGCAGGGCCAAGCTGAGGGTGTGGGCCATGAGTAGTGGAGGTTTGAGCCCGGTGAGTGCAGGGCCAAGCTGGTGTGTGGGGCCATGAATAGTGTGAGGGTTTGGGGCCACGGTGAGGTGCAGGGCCAAGCTGAGTGTGTGGGGCCATGGTGCAGGTATTGGGCCATGAATAGTGTGAGGGTTTTGGGCCACGGTGAGTGCAGGGCCAAGCTGAGGGTGTAGGGCCATGAGTAGTGGAGGTTTTGGGCCACGGTAGTGCAGGGCAAGCTGAGGGTGTGGGGCCATGGTGCAGTATTGGGCCATGAATAGTGTGAGGGTTTTGGGCCACGGTGAGTGCAGGGCCAAGCTGAGGGTGTAGAGCCATGAGTAGTGTGAGGGTTTGGGGCCACGGTGAGTGCAGGGCCAAGCTGAGGTGTGGGCCATGAGTGTGTGAGGGTTTGGGCCACAGTGAGTGGGGCCAAGCTGAGTGTGGGCCATGTAGTGTGAGGTTTGGGGCCACGGTGAGTGCAGGCCAAGCTGGTGTCCATGGTGGGTGGGCCATGAATAGTGAGGTTTTCCACGTGAGTGCAGGGCCACGCTGGTGTGGGGCCATGGTGCGGGTATTGGGCCATGAATAGTGTGAGGGTTTGGGGCCACGGTGATGCAGGGCAAGCTGAGGTGTAGGGCCATGAATAGTGTGAGGGTTTTGGGCCACGGTGAGTGCAGGGCCAAGCTGAGGGTGTAGGGCCATGAGTAGTGCGAGGGTTTTGGGCCACGGTGAGTGCAGGGCCAAGCTGAGGGTGTAGGGCCATGAGTAGTGCGAGGGTTTTGGGCCATGGATAAGGTGGCTATATACAGGTGTGCCATCATGAGTTGTTGTAGGGCTGGAGTATTATTGTAATGATAGACTTATAATAAAAGTTGTGTCACTCAAGGTTGTGGCATGTGTGTGTGTGAAGTTATGTTTAGGGATGCCACATATAATTCCTGAGCGTGATAGTGTATGGTGGAATAATGAGATAAGCAACAGGTGGTTCTCTCGTTCGTGTGTGTGTGTGTGTGTGTGTTTGTGTGTGCGTGCGTTTGTGTGTGTGACGTGGGTAGATCAAAAGAACAATGGCGGATGGAGGGTGTATTCTTTAACCAAGGAATAAAGGGAGTCAACAAAGGGACACTCCGTTGTCCCTGGGTGTGGCTGCCAGTAGGAGACACACACACACACACACACTGCTACCATTACCACCGACTGCCAGGCACCTAAGTCATGGCAGCAACACAGCTAAAGTGGGTGTGAGCACAGGTAGCAGCGGGAAGAGGCGGGGTGGGCGAGGCTAGAGGGGAGGAAGGGTGGTGCTACTCACACAATCCAGCGTGTTGCAGCAAGCGGAGGGAGGGGGGCGAAGACCTAAATGGCAGTCATAGTGCGAGGCGGCGGCCAGGACGAGGCGGCTGCTGGAGGTGTGAGGAAGTAGGGTCGGGGCCACGCACCTCAGCACCACGGCGCCGGAACTAGTCCCCCAGACACCGTGATGGGGACTCCCGTGCGTTCGTGGATGTGTGCTTCACGTCGGAAATAGCCGCCACTGTGGCTGGCGCGGCTCTGCAACCGCCCGTTCCTAGCTGCCCCCGGTCATCCATGCTCTTCAGTCACGGCAAGAATCATGTTATTCTCTAATAATACATACCGACACACGTACAAATGAATACAAAGGCAAATATACACTATAAATAGTATACAAGAGAACGGGGTAAGGCAACAGTAACAAAAAAAAAACGGTGTGACAATTGTGTGGGAGGTGTTTATTATTGGAGTGGTGGTGGTGAAGGTGGTAACAGGTTCTCCCCCGCAGGTCACCAACAACCTTCTCTCGGGAGGTCCCGCTGACGGTCACCACCGGAAATTCTATTTAGTCACAGTCTTGTCTATGATAGCACTACAAGTACACTATTCTGGGTGCGAAGCCTTTTTCTTTAATGATGTAACTCCCACCAGTTCACATGTGACGTGCCTGACTTACTACAGCTTAGTTTACTTGGCTGTTCTTACGTTACCAAACCTAATCCAACAAACATTACCATCTAAACTTACTCCGGCGGTATAGGTTGATTAAACGTATAAGTTATATAATTAGTGTTCGACGGGATGTTCAGTATGACGTTTGCTCTCACTATCAGCTGTTATCTGCTTGGTATTAAACAGCTGCAGTGGTATACTGCTAACCTTCGTCCCATCACCGACTATATTAACCTTGCTCCCCCTCTAATGTAACTGTCAATCACGGGCACAAAACGTTGACCTTACCGCACCTCACACTTGACCCTCAACGATACCCTGGAATGAGACGTTACTGTTAAGACCATGACTACTCGCTAAAACCTTCATCCCAGAGAGAAAATCCCATCAATTGGACCATACGTGTCATTGTGTGTTGCAGGTACTATAACACACACACACACACACCACGATAAGGCTCCTTGCGCTTCACTCTCACAACCTCACTATACTGGACCATAAAAATTTAAATATACCTTACCGAATGGCACATGTCCACCACCTGAGTAAACACAATATCACACTTCCACAGTTCACAGGTTCTATATAAAACGCCTGACTAATACGTATGATCCCATCTTAAGGTCGGATTAACTTAAAACTTGGGTATGATTAGTCGAAGTTTTGGATCACCTGAAGAATCGTCGCCCCAGAGTCCGGCAAGGCGACAATTCTTAAGGTGGGATCAGGAGCCTCCACGGTTGTTAATCTTCAGGTTAGTGGAGTCAGGACCCTCCAGTCAGGTAGGACTATATAATAGCAAGTGGGCTAAAAAATTTGTAGTCATAATCATCAGTCGACCATGGCAGGCAATACCTTCCAAACTGTCGTCCTACCACTGTTGTGTGATGATTCCTCTAAAGTTATTCGGTGGCTTCAACAAAACACTTTTAAAGCGTGAAGTGATACTTGTGATAACTGGAGGAATTGGACAAAATGCACCAGATCGAAGGATGGTTTTCTGTGGAAATGCCAAACAAAAGACTGCCAGAAGTATAAATCCAATAAGTCTATAAGAATAGGATCTTTTTTTTTGCCCGTTCTAATATTTCACTTCACAAGTGGGTTCATGTTATGCTGTTAAGTACCCTTTGTAATATGCATCACAATAAAGAAGCATAACACAAAGGAATATATTTATGTTATCCTAATTATACATACATTCACTGTGGGCTGGGGCGACGATTCTTCGGGTGGAGCAGGCTGGGGTGACAATTCTTCAAAACACACACACAATGTCGCAATGCTCCCGCCATACAAAGTTCACCGATTCTATATAATGACAACCTCCACTACCTGTACAACTCACGATTATGAACCACGAAAAACACACTCATCTGAACAGCCATCCTTCCTTCCCTCGGTAAACATATGATCACCTGAACACCATTTGGTATTAACTATAATGATACACACAAAGTGTATGATGGCGCGCACATAATGACAGACTACACACCACCCACACGTATGATGGTGCGCACACACATGATGGTAAACAAACACACATAATGGTACATACACACGCAGACATGTATGTTAGTGCACACAATGGTACATCAACTAACCTCGTCGATGAAGTGACTAAACATCAGTTCCAGCAGTGAATAGATTAATAATATGTGATCAATGAATCTATTATTTAGCAGTAAAAGTCTCACACGCAGAGCAAGTACAAAAACCACAGTCAAGACTTATTACGGTACAGATATTACCTAGTATTTTCCCCCTGGGCAATTCAAGTACACTATGAACCTTCCTACAGTACAACAAGGCCTCGAGTATTCCCTTCAGTTTAACCTATCATATATTCACTCGGAAATTCAAAGTGTCGAGATACCCATACTTCAAAACGGTTAGATTATGCAAATGTTGTAAAGGATATTAAATTTAAACGAGTGCGTATTGACAAATCAGAACGTGGGATTATAAACTCTAAAAATATGGGAGATGCACATATTTTACACTATAGACCACAATGACTTTAGATAAGAGGTTAAGACAATATTATCCTGACTATCATTTGCCGTCACCAGTTATCAACCACGATCGCTTTACGAACACAGAATTCCAACATATATCTTTTCGCCATCTCGCGCTACAACGACATTCGAGAAACAGCGATAACTAATTGAAAAAAAGTTTAGTCGTACTCGAAGTTCATCTCTCACTGCACAATATCGTCCCCTGACTATAACCTTACATATTTACCAGCTGTGACGATTATAATCCTCCGCATCAACAGGACAGTAAGGACGAGGCTATCTACTACTGTATACTCTTCCAACGACATTCCTACTCCTACATAACAATTATGTTTCTTTAGCAAATTTTCGACCATTCACTATATTGAACTGAGACACAACTACTACATGAAATCTGACCAAATATATTAATCTAGATATGATTTTAATTTGGTAGTGGGTACAGCTAGTGGGTCAATTAGGAAAATAACCTGTACCAGTGTGTGAGACGGTGGAAGCAAAGGGGATCACGCGGGCTTCTCCTGGCCGCTCCTATAATCCCTTGTTTTTCACTGAGGTGGCTGACAAATCCTCCCCCTCTCCCTACTTGCTCGCGTCAAGAACATACACTACCTCTATGTTGAAGTTTATGAATTTTCGTATGGAAAAAAACCCTTACATTTATCAACTTTAATCACAAACAATGCATCAACAATATTGCCACAGTACCTTAATGACACTCACTACCCCATGCACCTTTTCTGTGCCTCGTTTTATACGTGTTGGTGTTTAATAAAAGTTTATTCTGCTTGCTGCAAACAAGTGAGCGCCAACCACTGCCTCCCATTATCCTACTTTAATAGATAACGAGTCAGAATTAATCTGTTATGTAAGCACTTCACAGTGCACTACAGTAGGTACGATTGCACCTCGGGTGTTGTAAGCTCACAGCAAGATATCAAATCGTGCTGGTATAATTCCTTATTGTTAACAAGTTTATGCGTAACAATTTTAACATACGATGTGCTTTAGATTATACACAACTCAATTTAGTAAACAGAGATTTTAATAAAAAAGCGGTAAATATATATTCCATCTCTCTCTCTCAGTTCGAAAAAGTTCGGTATCAGACAGTTTTTCTTCCGGGCTGACTCGTAATAAATTCCTGAGATGAAGCTATGGATCACCACATTGGAAAGTGTAAAATAATAATGTGCTTGGCAACTGATGCCAACCTTTAATCAGTGTTGCCACCGTCACGAGCATCATTTTAACACTAAACAGGTGATCAATGCTTACGCTCCGTAATCGTAATAGTTTGGCTAACATCACCATGCAGGCATTTTTGTCAGATACAATATTTTTTTAATTATGTGGTTCTATCGACTAGCAGAGACATAGGCTAATACTGCCCAACTTGAGTATGTGCCCACCAGCTGTGTCTGAGCTGGAAACACCTGGTCTCAACAACGTCCTGTGCTCTCACTTTACACTATACTGCGGGCCACAGCTGCTGCACCTGGACTCCATTCTTCATAAACTGTCCACCCGTCTAGTTTGGAAAGGCACCTACCTGCACACAGTACCGAGATACGAGTGTGGGAAGAGGGTCGGCGATCTCATGACCACTCTGACGCTGTCGGAATGCGTTAACTAAACGTTATTGTTGTTTAAGTAACAAACATATCCTTACGGGGAAATATAACAACTGAATTTATAGGCGGAATTCACCTATGCAAGGCTGAAGGGCAATGTCGAGGACGCGTGTGGGAGTTGCCAGAGGTGTTAAAGGTGTGTTCTGAAAGGGAAAGTACACAGAACCG